TGTTCAGACGGAATCTCCTTTCTTGTAGTTTGAAGCCATTGTTCCGTGTCCTAGTCTCCAGGGCAGCAGAAAGCAAGCTTGCTCCCTCCTCCCAATGACTTCCCCTCATGTATTTATACATGGCTATCATGTCTCCTCTCAGCCTTCTCTTCTTCAGGCTAAACATGCCCAGCTCTTTAAGCCGCTCCTCATAGGGCTTGTTCTCCAAACCTTTGATGATTTTAGTCACCCTCCTCTTGACTTTCCTACAACTCCTAGTTATAAATGGAGGTGAAACAACAGGAAGTGAGAGGAAGTCTACCCCTAATAAAGGAAATTCACTTTTGAAAGAGTTATCATGGGGGGAAAGGTTTCTCCATTGAAACTTTAACGCCAGTCCTTGTTTCCACAACAACTAAATATTTCCAAAATTCAATTCTCTCAGGGACAGAAAGTGAGGTGAAATCCTCTGACAGACAGCAAAACAAATATTACAAGGGTGTCCTGTGTTATCCAAAACTAAAGAATTAGCTCTGTTTATGACAAACTGCCTTCCCCCTGCAATTTTTATATTAATAGATCTGTGTACATCTACAATGCTGAGTTTTACCAGTTGTTTATCGCAGGAGCTCTTGAAATAGCCTGTCAAGCTCCCAGGCTGAGATCAAAGGTCCTGGAATGAAAAGATTATCTGAAACTCCAATTATGAGCCTGCTTTGTCACAAAAAACATTGGAGGAGAGCAGAAGGAAAGATTTCTCGCAGCTCAAGAACCAGCCCAATCTCCAAATTTCTAGAGAGTCTAACAGAAGTCAGCTGTCCTTCCCAATGTTGGTTCTCACTTGCAACTAAGGACGTCATCCCATGGGTTTAGGGCTCCATTTCCATGCGCTTAAGAAATCAAGCCCCATGCGAGTCCCACGGAGGTCAACACATGATGTTAAGGGCACTTCTGGTAGATTTCCATGGGGCTCTGTTTCTGCAGTACATTGAAACGGAGCCCTAAACCCATCTTCAGGAGTCATGTGTTTCCACTACCTTGGCAGCCACCTCTCCACCAAAGTCAACATCGACACCGAAATTCAACACCGCCTGAGCTCTGCGAGTGCAGCATTTTTCCGAATGAAGCAGAGAGTGTTTGAGGACCGGGACATCCATAGGGATACCAAGGTGCTTGTTTATAAAGCTATTGTCCTCCCAACCCTGCTATATGTCTGCGAGATGTGGACTGTCTACAGACGTCACATGAAACTCCTGGAACGATTCCATCAGCGCTGCCTCTGGAAAATCCTGCAAATCTCTTGGGAAGACAGGCGGACAAACGTCAGTGTGCTGGAAGAAGCAAAGACTACCAGCATTGAAGCGATGGTCCTCCGCCATCAACTCCGCTGAACCGGCTACATTGTCTGGATGCCCGACCACCATCTCCCAAAGCAGTTGCTCTACTCCGAACACAAGAACAGAAAATGGAGTGTTGGTGGGCAGGAAAAGAGATTTAAAGATGGGCTCAAAGCCAACTTTAAAAACTGTGGCATAGACTTTGAGAACTGGGAAACCCTGTCCCTTGAGCGCTCCAGCTGGAGGTCAGCTGTGACTAGCAGTGCTGTAGAATTTGAAGAGGCACGAATGAAGGGTGAAAGAGAGAAAAGTGCCCTCACTGCGGGAGAAGATGCAGATCAAGAATAGGGCTCCACGGTCACCTACGGACCCATCAGAACACTGATCCTGGAAGACTATCCTACTCAGCCAACGAGGGATTGCCTAAGTAAGTAAGTAAATAAATTACCTGACTCCAAACAAAGAAGATGGGGGAAAGACAGGCATCAACATGGTAAGGCCATGGGATGCCTGGCCATATCAGAAGATGGGAAAAGATGAAGGGAAGAGGGTAAGACAGTTCCCTCTGATTTCCCCTAATTTCCCCCATTTGTGGGGTGAAGTTCTACTTTGTTTCAACTAAAAAAAAGATATTTTTGGAAGATTGGGGTCAATCTAAAGCTATCATAGTTTTCCCACACCAGCTTGAACCTGTTCAATAAGAATCCACATTGTTTACCTTTCATTTATGGGGTCTGGAGAACAAGCCCGATGAGGAGCGGCTTAAAGAGCTGGGCATGTTTAGCCTGAAGAAGAGAAGGCTGAGAGGAGATATGATAGCCATGTATAAATATGTGAGAAGAAGTCACAGGGCGGAGGGAGCAAGCTTGTATTCTACTGCCCTGGAGACTAGGACGTGGAACAATGGCTTCGAACTTCAAGAAAGGAGATTCCATCTGAACATGAGGAAGAACTGTGAGAGCCGTTCAGCAGTGGAACTCTCTGCCCCAGTGTGGAGGATGCTCCTTCTTTGGAAGCTTTTAAACAGAGGCTGGATGGCCATCTGTCAGGGGTGCTTTGAATGCAACATTCCTGCTTCTTGGCAGGGGGTTGGACTGGATGGCCCATGAGGTCTCTTCCAACTCTATGATTCTATGATTCTAACTGAAGATGGCAGGGTGAAACAGGGGATGAGGGCAAGCTGAGATGTTGACTAAGTAGTCAGTAGGCATCTCCTTCTGCCACCTACAGGGTGGGCTAGTTCAGAAAAAACTGACAGGCAAATGCTGGTGCTGTTTCTCTTTTTTCAGATCCTCAGAGGTTTTTGGAGAGAGCTGAGCACCCATCTAGTCACTCCCTCCAGACAGAGCAAGTAACCCGCTGCCTGTCACAGGAGCCCAATTTAAATGTCCAAGCAGAGGGAGAGGACCAAGGTAAGAATTGTAGATTGGAAAGAAGCACCAAGAATCCTGTAAGAAACCACCCTTGACTGACTGCTCTCTTCTCCCTCAATATTCCCACAGCTTCATTCACTGCAGGGATCCGGTCAATTATGAAAAGGAAAGAGGAACAGACAGAGATTGTGGCAAGCAAGAAGAGCCTCCACTTTGTGGGCATCAATGGAGGGTACAGCGAGGCCTCCACGGTTGAATTATGATGTGAAAGAGATTCCAATCTATTCCTGAACCCTTTTTGGGGCGTGGGGGAACATATAGCCCCGATTGCTCCAGCTAGATAGCAGTTCCAGTGGCTTCCTATATTCTGGTTGCCAGGTTTAAGATTTAACATGGAGTGTAGAAAACTATATCACACAAGCACACACTTGTTGTCATTCTTAATTGCTTTCAAATCAATTTTGACTTGCGATGACCCTGTGAAAATTATCTCCGTCATCTCCAACCCGCTCTGAGTCCCCTCGGGGAGATGGGGCAGGATATAAATAAAGATTATTATTATTATTATTATTATTATTATTATTATTATTGGGTTGTTGTAGGTTTTTTCGGGCTATATGGCCATGGTCTAGAGGCATTCTCTCCTGACGTTTCGCCTGCATCTATGGCAAGCATCCTCAGAGATAGTGAGGTCTGTTGGAACTAGGAAAATGGGTTTATATATCTGTGGTGTTTATATACCTATACAACAGAGAGTAAACTATCAGGCACATCAAATCACCTCTCAACAAAAGTTTGCTCCAGGCACAGTTGGCCCATTGTATGCTAATCAAGGTGGTCAGTTGAAACATTCACACCTAGCTCCAGCAGACAAGAGTCCTTTGTCTCACCCTAGTCATTCCACAGATATATAAACCCTTTTTCCTAGTTCCAAAACACCTCACTACCTCTGCAGATGCTTGCCATAGATGCAGGCGAAACGTCAGGAGAAAATGCCTCTAGACCATAGCCATATAGCCTGAAAAAACCTACAACTCAGTGATTCCAGCCATGAAAGCCTTCGACAATACATTATTATTATTATTATTATTATTATTATTATTATTATTATTATTATTATTTTGTCACAGAAAATGAGATATATATGCTGGATTTCATATTATTATTATTATTATTATTATTATTATTATTATTATTGACACAAAAGCGCAGTATGTCACAGCAAACGAGATCTATATGCTGGATTTCGTATCACAAAATCACAAGTCGAACACTTCCCAAGTGTCTAGGACTGTGTGATATATTTTCGAATGATGCGCACAGATCCAAGTAAGGTGGGCTTTAGCAGTTGACAGATCATGATTTTGTCGATGTTTATGGTTTCCAAATGCCGGCTGAGATCTTTTGGCATGGCACCCAATGCGCCAATGACCACTGGGACCATCTGTACTGGTTTACGCCAGAGCCTTTGCAGTTCGATTTTGAGGTCTTGATAGCGGCTGGGTTTTTCCTGTTGTTTTTCCTCAATGCGACTGTCACCCGGTAGGGCGACATCAATAACCCAGACTTTTTTCTTTTCCACAATCGTGATGTCTGGTGTATTGTGTTCCAAAACTTTGTCATTCTGGATTCGAAAGTCCCACAGTATTTTTGCATGTTCATTTTCCACAACCTTTGTGAGTTTATGATCCCACCAATTTTTACTGCTGGCAGGTGGTATTTGTGACATAAGTTCCAGTGAATCATCTGGGCCACAGAGTTGTGCCTCTGTTTGTACTCCGTCTGTGCGATTTTTTTACAACAACTGAGGATATGGTCCATGGTCTCACCAGGGATACAAATGTTCTAAATAAATAAATAAAGACACATACATAAATTGTCATTATGAAATGTGTAGGGACACAGCATATGGTGTATTTATTTGTCGTGTCAGGGCAACTAGTCCATTATATTACATTTCTAACAGAAACAAAGCAAACAAACAAACAGACAAAATACAAAATTTGTGAGTTTGGTAGTTGATTAAATGTCCTTTGACCAGTAGCTGGCCACTTGGAGTGCTTCTGGTGTTGCTGCAAGAAGATCCCCCATTGTGCATGTGGCAGGGCTCAAGTTGCATTGCAGCAGGGGGTCAGTGGTTTGCTCCTCTCCACACTCGCATGTCGTGGATTCCACTTTGTAGCCCCATTTCTTAAGATTGGTTCTGCATCTTGTTGTGCAAGAGCGCAGTCTGTTCAGCACCTTCCAAGTCGCCCAGTCTTCTGTGTGCCCAGGGGGTAGTCTCTCATTTGATATCAGCCATTGGTTGAGGTTCTGGGTTTGAGCCTGCCACTTTTGTACTCTCGCTTGCTGAGGTGTTCCAGCGAGTGTCTCCGTAGATCTTAGAAAATTATTTCTAGATTTAAGTCGTTGACGTGCTGGCTGATACCCAAACAGGGGATGAGCTGGAGATGTCTCTGCCTTGGTCCTTTCACTATTGGCTGCTACTTCCCGGCGGATGTCAGGTGGTGCAATACCGATTAAGCAGTGTAATTTCTCCAGTGGTGTAGGGCGCAGACACCCTGTGATAATGCGGCATGTCTCATTAAGAGCCACATCCACTGTTTTAGTTTGGTGAGATTTGATCCAGCATATGGTGTGAAAACCTTTCATTATATTTTTTTGAAAATATGTAATTTATGGCTTATGTTACATAGACTTAGAGGTTTCTCGTTATGTTTGTGTGACACACCTACACAATGCAGCCGACACACTAATGCATCATGACACACAGTTTGGAAAACTTTGACGTAGAGCTTTAGAAGAAGTCAGGATGTCTTTAGTCTTTCTTTCTGATGAAGTCTAGGACTGGTTTCTCTCCACACTCGCATATAGTGACTCTTCTCACCCCTGTTGCCACTGCTCAGGTATGAGTCCACTTCCTCCGAGGACTCCAGCACAGCAGAGAATGTATCGGACAACGAGAGCACAGAGAGCGAGTATCACGAGGCAAGCGAGGGGCTCCCTGCAGCGCAGGCAGCTATCGCAGAGCCCGCAAAGCCTTCTGGGACTGCCACAACTCACCCTAAGATTCCCACTGAAGGAGGTGAAATGCCAGCACCAGTAGAAGGACAAAGCAAGGAACCAGAAAGCACCACTGGGTAACTATCAGTGCAGGCATATTTATGGATATCAAGCCTCTGTGCCCAGATTATTCTAATTCTTGATTCTCCAGAGAAACCGATTCTTATGTCCAGAATAAATAAAGCAGGGTGCACAGGAGAGGTGATGCCATTTTGCCGATTTCCAAATATTGCTAACATTCTGGAAGAATTAGATTGTTAAAAGTCATGGGAAGGAAGTTGCCTGTATTTTCTGGAGCTGTGGGGAAGGAAGATGATGCCTTTTTTATGTGATACCTGCTTTCCTTCTTGGAGAAACATGCTGTCCCGCTTAGTTCTAATTCAAGATTTAGCTTTACCAGTACAATCTTCTAGTGGCCCATTTCCCTCTTTTCCTTCTGTATGTTGCCAAAAGGAATAAAGTACAGTAGGCCAGTACATTTCCAGTTTTGACTTTTGCAGATGGGTTTGATGTTGATGTTGTTCATTCGTTCAGTCGTTTCCAACTCTTCATGACCTCATGGACCAGCCCACGCCAGAGCTCCCTGTTGGCTATCACCACCCCCAGCTCCTTCAAGGTCAATCCAGTCACTTCAAGGATACCATCCATCCATCCATCTTGCCCTTGGTCGGGCCCTCTTCCTTTTTCCTTCCATTTTCCCCAGCATCATTGTCTTCTCTAAGCTTTCCTGTCTCCTCATGATGTGGCCAAAATACTTCATTTTTGCCTCTAATATCCTTCCCTCCAATGAGCAGTTGGGCTTTATTTCTTGAAGTATGGGCTGGTTGGATCTTCTCGCAGTCCAAGGCACTCTCAGAACTTTCCTCCAGCACCACAGTTCAAAAGCATCTATCTGCCTTCGCTCAGCCTTCCCTATGATCCAGCACTCACATCCGTAGGTGACTATGGGGAATACCATTGCTTTGACTATGCGGATCTTTGTTGCCAGTGTGATGTCTCTACTCTTCACTATTTTATTGAGATTGGACATTGCTCTCCTCCCAAGAAGTAAGCGCCTCCTGATTTCCTGGCTGCAGTCTGCGTCTGCAGTAATCTTTGCACCTAGAAATACAAAGTCTGTCACTACCTCCAAGTTTTATCCCTCTATTTGATGATGTGTTCTGCATACAAGTTAAAAAGGTTGGGTGAGAGTATGCAGCCTTGCCATACGCCTTTCCCAATCTTGAACCAGTCTGTTGTTCCATGGTCAGTAAGACTGTTGCTACTTGGTCCTTATACAGATTCCTCAAGAGAGAGATCATATCTAACATGGGTTTGATATGCTCTCTGAAGTAATCTCTAGGTCTTCTAGTGCAACTCTGTGGTCAACAGATGTTGAGCACAGAATTGTGCTGAAGGACCTAGAGCTTCTAGAAGAGTGGTTCCCAACCTTTGGTCTTCCAAGTGTTTTGGACTTCAGCTGCCACAATTTTTTGACTGCTGGTAATCTGGCTGGGATTTCTGGGAGATGAAGTTCAAAACAACTGGAGGACCAAAAGTTGGGAACCACTGTTCTAGAAAGAACACTTCTCTATGCTTTGGTAGGTCCTAGAGTACATTTTTCAAGGCGTTTTCAAGGCATTTGTAACTCCTCCAGTGATTAAATTTGACCATAGAAGTGTGCTGGAGGACTTTAATCTCAAAGGCACGTTTACGAGGTCTGGAGATCACAGCCTGCAATTCAGCCAGCGATGGGTGGACAATTGAGCCATGAGCAGTGCCTCTGGAAAATGGAATTTGTATCCTCGCTGGGCCATGGAAACCCATTGGGTGACCTTAAAGTCCTCCATAATAATAATAATAGTAATAGTAATAATAACAATGATGCAAAGACTCTGGCACAAGCCAGTAAAGGTGGTCCCAGTGGTGATCGGCACACTGGATGCAGTGCCTAAAGACCTTGGCCTGCACTTAAACACAGTCGGCGCTGACAAAATTACCATCTGCCAGCTGCAAAAGGCCACCTTACTGGGATCTGCACACATTATTCGCTGAAACATCACACGGTCCTAGACACTTGGGAAGTGTCTGACGTGTGATTCAATACAATAGCCAGCAGAGTGATCTTGTTTGCTGTGGACTCATCATGTTGTGTTTCAAATAATAATAATAATCTATATAAATAAAAATGTAATGTTTGTTTGTGGGATTAACAGAACTCAAAACCACTGGGGGAATTGACACCAAATTTGGACACAATATACCTATCAGGCCAACGAGTGACCATCACTCATAAAAACACCGAAAAACACAGCAGAAGAGACTTAAAAAGCCCCAAAACAAAAATGCATTACAATGCATGTGCAAAACCACATATATAAACAGACATATATACATATATACACAGACTGGGCCACAGCAACGCGTGGCAGGGGACGGCTAATAATAATAATAACAATAACAACAACAACACTTTATTTATATTCTTCCCTTCTTCTCAAGGGAACTCAGAGCAGATATAAGCAGACAGGCAAACATTCAATGCCTTATTACAATGACATACAATAAGACACAAACACACCTTCTCCTTTCATTTCCAGCTCTGGAGGCAATGCTCAATTCAGGGCTCTTTCTCCATTTCCAAGCCGAGGAGCCTGCCTCCATAAACGTCTCCTGGTCATGTGGTCAGCATTACTGCTTGTAGCATCTTTTTGCCTTTTCTCGCTGAAGCAGTACCTATTGATCTACTCACATTTGCATATTTTTGAACTGCTAGTTTGGCAGGAGCTATGGCTAACAGCAGGAGTTCATCCCATCTCAGTGATTCGAACTGCCAACCTTTAGTTCAGCAGCACAAGGGTTTAACCCCTTGTGTTACCTTTCTCTTGGTTCCCCCCCCCCCCCTTACATTTGTTCAGGTCCTGTACCTCTAACCCAAAGTAATGTGGAGGGCCTACTCTATTAGTCATTTCAATTGCCATTGTCAGTAAAATCTGGATCAGTTTGTTGGCTTTTTAAATATACTAGCCACAGTTTGTAGTTCAAAAGTAATAGTGAGCAAAAAAGTAAGAAATATCAATGTGAATTTTCCAGTCCTCTTTAAGTACTAATGCTTTCCACAGGTTCACATAGGCTTGTACATGCAATACTAAATCCTCACCTAATGTTTCATGCAAATACTATTATCCAGCAAGTATGTTCCATTCAAACATTGATATATTCCTTTTTCTTTTCCATTTTATATCCAGGATGGTACTCAGCAAAGATCTGCTTTCAGCCTGTGAAGTTCTTCAGAAATACTTGGAGAGCCCCAATGCACACATGGACGAAGAGATGGTATATCTACATCTCTATAATTTGGGAAGGTGGAGAAAAAACAAAACAGTTGGTTGTCATGTAGTGTTTTCATTTGTGAAACTCCTTTCTGTGACTGCCACACATCTGTGTATAATCCAGTAGTGAGTTTTGTGGGCTCATGCATAATACAGTAGTGGTATTTTGAGGCTTGGCCAGATGACGAGGACATATCTAATGGGAAATTACTCTTGCGGTATCTAAACAGAATTTGGAGTATCTGCACAGGGTCTCTTCTGCACTTCGCAGAACTTGGGAAATGCATGTTGGTTGAATCAATTACAGATTAAATTGTTTAAGTACAGGCAGTCCCCTGGTTACAAACAAGATAGTTTCTGGAGGTTTGTTCTTAAGTTGAATTTGTGTATAAGTCAAAACAGGTACATTTTAAAGTGTAAGTCCAGGCAAAAGTAGATTTTTTAGTTTTGGGTATTACAGGGAATGGTTAGCATCCTTGGAGAATTTGTTTTGTTGTCTGTACCCCTGCTCTGAGAGTGCCTTGGACAGCGAGAAGATCCAACCAGTCCATCCTCCAGGAAATAAAGCCCGACTGCTCACTGGAGGGAAAGATACTAGAGACCAAGTTGAAGTACTTTGGCCACATCATGAGGAGATAGCAAAGCCTAGAGAAGACAATTATGCTGGGGAAAGTGGAAGGAAAAAGGAAGAGGGGCCGACCAAGGGCAAGATGGATGGATGGCATCCTTGAAGTGACTGGACTGACCTTGAGGGAGCTGGGGGTGGTGAAGGTCGACAGGGAGCTCTGGCGTGGGCTGGTCCTTGAGGTCACGAAGAGTCGGAGACGACTGAACGAATGAACAACAACAACACCCCTGCTCAGAAGATTTCACCTCACTTTCATTACCTTTGATGATTGAATTTTGAAAAAAAATGGGTTGTTGTGGAAACAAGGATTGATGAGAAAGCTTCAGTGGAGACATCTTTTTCCAAACCCTGCATAAAATGCCCTCAGAAGCACTTTAGCCCATCTTCTAGTGCAATTAAATCTCATTTTCGTCCCTCAGATCATCTGTCTAGATACAATACATGGCCTGCTCACCCAGTGTTTTTAAACTTTTAATCTTTGCAACTTGCCCTGCCCACTGTGATTTTTTATTTTTTGTGATCTTATATTGTTTGGTGTGTTCATTTGTATTATTTTCTGTATTTGAAAAAAAATCATTATATTTTGCCGTTTGTATTTTATGTTGTACTAGCTGTACCCGCCACGCGTTGCTGTGGCCAGCTTTCCCTCTTTCTCTCTTTCTTTCTCTCCTTCCTTCCCTCTTTTTCTTTTCCTTCTTCTATCCCTTCTTCCTTCCTTCTCTACCTGTTTCTCTCTTTCACTCCTTCCCTCCTTCCTTCCCTCTCTTTCCTTCCTTCTTTCACTTTTTTATTTCCTTCTCTCCTTTCTTCCTTCTCTACCTTCCTTCCTTCCTTCCTTCCTTCCTTCCTTCCTTCCTTCCTTCCTTCCTTCCTTCCTTCATCCATTCATCCATTCATCCTTCTCTCCTTTCTTTGTATATGTGTTTTGTGTGTGTATATATGCATATATGTGTGTATATTTGTGTATATGTGTGTTTGCATATATATGTGGTTTTGTGCATGCTTTGTAATGTAATTGCTGGTTTTTGGCTTTTTAAGTCTTTTTGCTGTGTTTTCCAGTGTTTTTATGAGTGATGGTCACTCATTGGCCTGATCGGTGTCTTGTGTCCAAATTTGGCAGCAATTCGTCCGGTGGTTTTTGAGTTATGAGTTATGTTAATCCCACAAACAAACATTACATTTTTCTTTATATATAGATACTAGCCATCCCCTGCCACACGTTGCTGTGGCCCAGTCTGGTGATCTCGAAAATAAAGTAATGAGAAAGTGTTGGTTTCTAATATATGTAATTTCTTTATGCTTGTGGGTAAACAGTATTTCTTGCTGTTTCTTTGTCAGTGTTGATGTGGAGAGTGTCTGGTTTGCCTACTCTGGAACATGCAACATATAATTGTCCTTCTTTAGGGGTCCCTTTCAAATCTATGATACTATATCTGTGTGTGTGAATCATATATTTATATCTATATCTATGGCTAGATATCTATATCTATGGCTTATTGCTCAATTTAGAATAAAACTAAAGAGATCAGGGAAAATACACAGACCAGTTAGATATGATCTCACTAACATTCCTAGCGAATATACAGTGGACGTGAAGAACAGATTTGAAGGACTAGATTTAGTAAACAGAGTCCCAGAAGAACTATGGACAGAAGTCCGAGACATTGTTCAGGAGGCGGCAACAAGGTACGTCCCAAAGAAAAAGAAAACCAAGAAGGCAAAATGGTTGTCTGCTGAGACACTGGAAGTAGCCCAAGAAAGGAGGAAAGCAAAAGGAAACAGGGATAAGGGGAGATATGCCCAGTTAAATGCGCAATTCCAGAGGTTAGCCAGAAGAGATAAGGAACTATTTTTAAATAAGCAATGCATGGAAGTTGAAGAAGACAACAGAATAGGAAGGACAAGAGACCTCTTCCAGAAAATTAGAAACATTGGAGGTAAATTTCAGGCAAAAATTGGTATGATAAGAAACAAAGATGGCAGGGACCTAACAGAAGCTGAAGAGATCAAGAGAAGGTGGCGAGACTATACAGAAGATCTGTATAGGAAGGATAATAATATTGAGGATAGTTATGACGGTGTGGTGAATGAATTAGAACCAGACATCCTGAGGAGTGAAGTTGAATGCTAACAACAAGGCAGCAGGAGACGACGGGATCCCAGCTGAACTGTTTAAAATCTTAAAAGATGATGCTGTCAAGGTGATGCATGCCATTTGCCAGCAAATATGGAAAACACAAGAATGGCCATCAGACTGGAAAAAATCAACTTATATCCCCATACCAAAAAAGGGAAATGCGAAAGACTGCTGAAACTTCCGTACAGTGGCCCTTATTTCTCATGCCAGTAAGGTAATGCTCAAGATCCTGCAAGGAAGACTCCAGCAATACATGGAGCGAGAGTTGCCAGATGTTCAAGCTGGGTTTAGAAAAGGTAGAGGAACAAGAGACCAATTGCCAATATCCGCTGGATAATGGAGAAAGGCAGGGAGTTTCAGAAAAACATCTACTTCTGCTTCATTGACTATTCTAAAGCCTTTGACTGTGTGGATCATAATAAATTGTGGCAAGTTCTTAGTGGGATGGGCATCCCAAGCCACCTTGTCTCTCTCCTGAGGAATCTGTACAAGGACCAAGTAGCAATAGTCAGAACTGACCACGGAACAACAGACTGGTTCAAGATTGGGAAAGGCGTACGGCAAGGCTGCATCCTCTCACCCAACCTTTTTAACTTGTATGCAGAACACATCATGCAATGTGCGGGGCTTGATGAATGCAAAGCTGGGGTGAAAATAGCTGGAAGAAACATTAACAACCTCAGATATGCAGATGACACCACTCTGATGGCCGAAAGCGAGGAGGAGCTGAGGAGCCTTCTAATCAAGGTGAAAGAAGAAAGCGCAAAAGCCGGGTTGCAGCTAAACGACAAAAAAACCAAGATTATGGCAACAAGAATGATTGACAACTGGAAAATAGAGGGAGAAACCGTGGAGGCCGTGACAGACTTTGTATTTCTAGGTGCAAAGATTACTGCAGATGCAGACTGTAGCCAGGAAATCAGAAGACGCTTACTTCTTGGGAGGAGAGCAATGTCCAGTCTCGATAAAATAGTGAAGAGTAGAGACATCAGACTGACAACAAAGATCCGCCTAGTCAAAGCCATGGTATTCCCTGTAGTCAACTACGGATGTGAGAGCTGGACCTTAGGGAAGGCTGAGCGAAGGAAGATCGATGCTTTTGAACTGTGGTGTTGGAGGAAAGTGCTGAGAGTGCCTTGGACTGCGAGAAGATCCAACCAGTCCATCCTCCAGGAAATAAAGCCCGACTGCTCATTGGAGGGAAAGATACTAGAGACAAAGTTGAAGTACTTTGGCCACATCATGAGGAGACAGGAAAGCCTAGAGAAGACAATTATGCTGGGGAAAGTGGAAGGCAAAAGGAAGAGGGGCCGACCAAGGGCAAGATGGATGGAATCCTTGAAGTGACTGGACTGACCTTGAGGGAGCTGGGGGTGGTAACGGCCGACAGGGAGCTCTGGCGTGGGCTGGTCCATGAGGTCACGAAGAGTCGGAGACGACTGAACGAATGAACAACAACAACAAATCTATGGCTAGATGGCTCTTTGTCAGGAGGGCTTTGATTACGTTTGCTTGTCCTCATGAAGGGAGTTGAATGGCCTTAAGTATTTTCTGTGGGTTCTGTGTGGAAAGTTTGCCCCAATTCTATCGTTCGTGGGGCTCAGAATGCTCTTTGATTGTCGGTGAACTATAAATCCCTGTAACGACAACTCCCAGATGTCAAGGCCTATTTCTCCCAAATTCCATCTGTGTTTATATTTGGGCATATGGAATATTCATGCCAAGTTTGGTCCAGATCCATCATTGTTTGAGTTCACAGTGCTCTCTGGATGTAGGTGAACTACAACTCCCAAACTTAAAGTCAATGCCCACCAAACCCTTGTAGTGTTTTCTGTTGGTCATGGGAGTCCTATCTGCCAAGATTGGTTCAATTCCGTCTTTGGTGGAGTTCAAAATGTTCTTTGATTGTAAGTGAACTATAAATCCCAGCAACTACAACTCCCAAATGACAAACTCAATTTTAAGTGGAGAACATACATTGGGTTGTTAGGGGTATCGTGTCCAAATTTGGTGCCAATTGCCCCAGTGGTTTTTGAGTTCTGTGAATACCACAAACGAACATTACATTTTTATTTATATAGATTGCTCTGCTGTACTGTTGGGCTTGGCCTCATGTAAGCCACCCCGAGTCCCCTTAGGAAGATAGTAGTGGGGTATAAATAAAGTATTATTATTATTATTATTATTATTATTATTATTATTATTATTCCCTCTAATAACTCTTCCAGGAGTGGATTTCCCTTCTGGTGGGTAGATGTCCTCACATTTTCTGTTGTTTCCCCTCCGTTTGTAAATAGGAGTTGGATCTAAGTTGAACGTTTGTAACTCAGGCACTACCTGTATGCATACTGGAAAAGTATAATAAAAGGTGGATTTTGATAAGGGAAACCCATTTAGTTAAGATGTATTGGGACATAATAGTTTTATACCTGACATCTGGTGTTGTTTTCCCCCTCTCCCCTTTTCTGTAGAAATTGGCGTATACCACAGTACTTCCCTATTGGCTGAGACTTTCCTGCCACAAAGAAGCAGATCCAGCACTGGTCTCTCTGCATTTGGCTGCATTTCAGGCGATTTCCCCAGAACTGCTGGAATTCATAATCAATATGGCTGACGCCAATGGTAACACAGCCCTGCATTACACTGTCTCACATTCCAACTTCCCTGTGGTTGCAAAGCTTCTTGAAACAGGTAGGTGAACATCAAGAAATGGGAACATTGGAATCCAAGAAAGTCCCCTTTGATGAGATGACCCACTTGGCCACTTTTGTGGTCTAACATAGGGGTGGCAGACTTGGGCACTAAAGCCAAATGTAACTCTCCTGATGTCCTTGAGAACTAAATCTTCTCAGCCCTTGGATGAAAGGGTTAGTTGTTAGGATGGATTTGAATCTGCTGAGGGTTGTGGGAAATGGAAAGGAGACCAAGGTCAAGAGTTTGGAACAATAGAATCCAAGGGTCTAAATATCTGACTGTGAGAGCCGTTCAGCAGTGGAACTCTCTGCCCCGGAGTGTGGTGGAGGCTCCTTCTTTGGAAGCTTTTAAGCAGAGGCTGGATGGCCATCTGTCAGGGGTGATTTGAATGCAATATTCCTGCTTCTTGGCAGGGGGTTGGACTGGATGGCCCATGAGGTCTCTTCCAACTCTTTGATTCTATGATTCTATGATTCTATCTGGAAATTTTGAAATCACTGGGAATAGGGGGATTTAGTTATTTATTTACAACATTTCTACCCCACCCTTCTCAACCCCCGAAAAGGGACTCAGAGCAGCTAACACTGGCACAATTCGATGCCGCAAATATCACAATATAACAAGAATATAAAACCATAAATACGCCTGGGCAATGCATGGTTCGAAATGGTTCTAACGTACTTACAAAACTAAAGTTCTGGTGGTGAAAAATTCAGAACTCTAACAAAACTCTCAAGATTTCATTATAAATGGCAGTTCCTAATTGGTTCTGTCGACCACATTTCTGTATACGAACCCACACGATCTCTTCGTTCATCTGGTGAGGCCCTGCTCACGATCCCACCTGCTTCACAGCCGCGATTGGTGGGAACAAGGGACGGCCTTCTCGGTGGTGGCTCCGTGACTCTGGAACTCCCTCCCCAAAAACATCAGGCAGGCCCCAACATTGGCAGTCTTTAGAAGGAGCTTGAAAACCTGGATGTTCCGGCGTGCCTTCCCAGAATAAGGAATCCTAAGCAATATGTCCTCAATGCACTTTATGAGAGATTTAGAACTGTCTGCACGTTCACCTTTCCCAGAACATTCCTCCTATCCCCTTTAAACTTCCCAGCTTTTAACTTTTAAAACTTTTACATTTGGCCCGCCTCATGTTTTTAAAATGTGTTGTGTTATTATTGTATTGTTTTTGCTTTTTATGAGTTATTTACTGTTTTGTTGTTGTTGTTTTTATGATGTTGTTGGGCTTGGCCTCTTGTAAGCCGCACCGAGTCCTGTGGGAGATGTTAGCGAGGTATAAGAACAATAAATAAATAAATAAATAAAATAATAAAATAATAAAAATTGCCAATAATGAAATAATAATTAATTTTTGAAAGTTTTGTTAGAGTTCTGAAATTTTCACCACCAGAACTTTAGTTTTGTAAGTACTTTAGAACCATTTAGAACCATGGATTGCCCAGGCCTAATAAATACACAATAGAATTAAAAACAAAACATTAGTTGGGTTGTTGTAGGTTTTTTCGGGCTATACGGCCATGTTCTAGAGGCATTCTCTCCTGACGTTTCGCCTGCATCTATTGCAAGCATCCTCAGAGGTAGTGAGACCTCACTACCTCTGAGGATGCTTGCCATAGATGCAGACGAAACGTCAGGAGAGAATGCCTCTAGAACATGGCCATATAGCCCGAAAAAACCTACAACAACCTAGTGATTCCGGCCATGAAAGCCTTTGACAATACCTAAAACATTAGTTATACAATCATATAGCCGTTTCCATTATTATAACAATCATATGGTCCAGTTCAATGTCCAAAGTGCCGTTACGTCTGCTAACCAAAGGCCTGGTTCCAAAACCACGATTTCAGATTTATCCTAAAGCAGTGGTTCTCAACCTGTGGGTCCCCAGGTGTTTTGGCCTACAACTCCCAGAAATCCCAGCCTGTTTACCAGCTGTTAGGATTTCTGGGAGTTGAGGGTCAAAACATCTGGGGACCCACAGGTTGAGAACCACTGTCCTAAAGGAAAGGAGGGAGGACACCAATGTAATCTCACTGGGGAGCAAGTTCCACAAGTGGGGGCTCACCACCAAGAAGGCCCTGTCCCTCGTCCCCAATTTTAAGAAAAATTGAAAACACAATATTAGCATCTTTTGAATACATTGTTCCTTTAGAAGTATAAACTGCACTTGATACATTGAAATGCCATATTATTGAGAAAATAATTTCAAATTGAAAATATGTATGTTACCCCAGTTGGTCCTAGGAATGGCACATATTTGTTCCAAATCCCAGTGCTTGCCTGCCCTGAGTTCAACTAAAGATGAATAGGGAGTGATTTATTTATTTATTTTGTGTCAAAAGCATGGCATACATATGTATAAAACTGAGAAAAAAAAGATGGAGTACAAGCGGCTAAATAATTTTTGAACAAAACTGGGCAGCAGCAACTGCATTGTCTGTAGATTCATCCTCTGCACATGAGGCAGGGCATTGTGGACAAGCATACAGGTACTGAGTTGTTTGTTCTGCTCCACAGTCACACAACCCAACAGCATTGCTTTTTAAACAAGGAATGTTTATGGATTTTTAAGAACAGGTTCAGAGAGTTGTCTTTTGTCAACTGCCTCGGGTCAGAATTTGGGGTTGCAGGAAACTCCCAGAAGAACCAGGCTTCTCATAACTTCCTTTCTTTTCTAGGCTTGTGTCACGTGGACCAACAAAACAAAGCTGGCTATACAGCCATCATGCTAACAGCACTGGCTGCCTCCCGGTCAGAAAGTGATATGGATACCGTTGTGCAGCTGCTGAAAATGGGCAACGTTAATGCCAAAGCCAGCCAGGTACCAAAATTGCCAGCAGGGAGTGGGGGAGGGTGAGAAAATTAGGAAAGGAAGAAATGAGAATATATCTGTTTTGGCCCGAGTAGAAGATTTTAAAGCTTACTTCCTCTTTCTTTCTTTCATCCACATACATGGTGCATATAAAGGAGAAAGGGGTGGAAGAAGGATATAGTTACACTTTTAAGTGGGTTTGCTTTTTACATGCTGTGATAAAGTGTGAATTTTAACCTACAGTTATGTATAATTATAGATAGGTGTTTAAAAGAGTAAGTATTTAAAATAGCATAAGTGGGGGGATGGTAGCCAGCTCAGCTCACTCTGAGCTGGGTTGCCATAGAAAAAGGGGAGGAACCAACTGCCATTTTGCAGGGCAGGTATTTTAAAACAGTCAGTCTGTAGTCTTGAGAACTGCAGGAAAGGCTGGTTCTACAGTGTTGAGAATCAGGGAAGCAGTCTGTAGTTAGGGAACTACAGCGAAAGGCTGGTTCTTACTGTGTTGAGAACCAGGAAGGTTTAGGCTTTTAGCCTGTTTGGTTCACATAGGTCAAGTTGACTTATTTAGATTAGTAGTTAGTGTATGAGCAAAAAGGGGGAGAGAACCCCAGTAAGCATCTTTACTGCAACAGAAAGAAGGAATAAGCTTGTATCTGAAGTAATCTATTAAGGAAAGAAACTCAGTTTGAAGAAAAATAAGTTTAAAACCTGTTTAGTGGAAGGAACAGTCCTCTCAAGAGTTGTTTTATGAAATGTTATAAATGTAACCTCTAAAGAAATGTGTCTCTAAGAGTTAAGAAACATTGAAACCATTAAGCTTTTCTATACTTCAATAAACTTGTTACAGTTTCTCTTAAAGCCAAGTCTCTGTTACGAATACTTTCAAGTCAAGCCACGCTACACATTAAAGAAAGCCCAACAAAATATTATAAGCTATTATCTGTGTTATCAATTTTATAAATCCACTAGCTGTGCCCTGCCACGCGTTGCTGTGGCCTATAGTAAAACTTATCAAAGTTGAGGTAGATATCTGCACTATTCCTTCCCCTTTTTCCTCCCCCTTTCTCTCCTTTCTTCCTTCTCTACCTTTCTTTCTTTCCTTCTTTCACTACTTGGTTTCATCCTTCTCTCTTTCCTTCATTCCCTCCCCCTTTCTTCCTTTGCCTTTCTTCCCTCCCTGTTTGCTTCCTTCTTTCACTTTTTATTTCCTTTTATTTCACCACCATCATAACAATAACAATAATGCAATGCATTGCCTCTGGGACCTGACACCTCTCCCATTCCCCCAGGCTCTAATAGGAATAATAGCATAATAATAATAATAGAAATAACAACCTTTACCCGCCACACGTTGCTGTGGCCAACCTTCCCTCTTTCTCTCCTTCTTTCCCTCCTTCCTTCCTTCCCATCTTTCCTTCTCCTCTTCTTCTCTATCTCTTTCCTTCCTTCCCCCTTTTTCTTTCTCTTCTGGTCTCTTTTCTTCCTTCTCTCTTTCCTTCTTTCCTTCCCTCCCTCTTTCTCTACATCTTCCCCTTCCTTCACTCCCTCTTTCCTTCCTTCATTCCCTTTTTTCTTTCCTTCTCCTTCCTTCCTTCCCCCTTTTTCTTTCTCTTCTGGTCTCTTTTCTTCCTTCTCTCTTTCCTTCTTTCCTTCCCTCCCTCTTTCTCTACATCTTCCCCCTTCCTTCACTCCCTCTTTCCTTCCTTCATTCCCTTTTTTCTTTCCTTCTCTCCTTCCTTCCTTCCCCCTTTTTCTTTCCCTCCCTCTGTCTCTCATTTCTTCCTTCTCTACCTCTTTCCTTCCTTCCTCCCTTTTTCTTTCTCTTCTGCGGCTGGGCGCCAATGCGCATGCTCAGTTGTTTTGCCGTTTTGTGAGTGTGTTGTTGTGTTGTTTTTCATTTTGAGTAGATATGTTTGTACCTTGTGAGTTGTGTTATGGGCATGGGAATTTTGGTTAAGTTTCGTTGGGGTTTTTTTGAGTTTTGTTGTTTTGCCGTTTTGTGAGTGTGTTGTTGTGTTGTTTTTCATTTTGAGTAGATATGTTTGTACCTTGTGGGTTGTGTTATGGGCATGGGAATTTTGGTTAAGTTTCGTTGGGGGATTTTTGAGTTTTGTTGTTTTGCCGTTTTGTGAGTGTGTTGTTGTGTTGTTTTTCATTTTGAGTAATATGTTTGTACCTTGTGGGTTGTGTTATGAGCATGGGAATTTTGGTTAAGTTTCGTTGGTTTTTTTTAGAGTGTTATCCTTTTGCCGTTTTGTGAGTGTGTTGTTGTGTTGTTTTTCATTTTGAGTAGATATGTTTGTACCTTGTGGGTTGTGTTATGGGCATGGGAATTTTGGTTAAGTTTCGTTGGGGTTTTTTAGAGTTTTGCTGTCCCGTTGAACCAACCTAACAGATTTATATATATAGATTACAAATAGTAGGAGACCCTGATAAATCAGTGACAGCCCTACTGCTTCTGGTGTCGTCTTTACAAAGTGGTAGCGTCGTTACAAAGTGGTGGCATCTTTGCACATAAGCTTGTGTGAGTTTAACCAGGCATGGGCAAACTTTGGCCCTCCAGGTGTCCCACAATTTCTATCGGCTGTTAGGAAATGCCTGGTATAAACCCATTTCTTTGGATGCAGTACAAGGTGCAGAATCTTTTCAAGTTTTCTTTTTCTGATTTCCTTTTTAAAGAAAGCTTCACATGATAGCTAGAGTTTTCAGAACAGAAATGGATTTGTTTAAGAATTCAGGTGTTTGTGTAACACTTTTGAGTGCTTTCCGCAAGCGAGTCTTCTCCCTCCCGATGCAGTTATGCCGTAGCTTAATGATGTTGCTTCCCCCATTGCCACTCTTGCAGGCTGGACAGACTGCGTTGATGTTGGCTGTCAGCCATGGGCGTCTCGATATGGTGCGTGCCTTGCTTGCAAGCTCAGCGGATGTCAACTTGCAAGACGACGACGGCTCCACAGCACTGATGTGTGCCTGCGAACATGGCCACGCTGAGATTGTCCGCCTGCTGTTGGCCACACCTGGCTGTGATGTTGCACTCTCTGACAACGTGAGTGTTGCCTAGACCAAACGCTGGGGTTGGCAAGGAGAAGGAGCCCCTGGTATTCCATCTCAGTGTCCTCAACTCACAGTGTATGGTAAAAATACAGAAAGATGTTTTCCCAAAAGTTTTAAAAGTCTATATTGTTTTAATCTTACATTCTGTGCAGTGCTTTAAATATGATATCAATCATATGATATAAATAATATAATATATCATATATATAAATCATATGATATAAATAATAAAATATGATATAAATAAATGATATAAATAAAAATGTAGTGTTTGTTTGTGGGATTAACATAACTCAAAAACTACTGGACAAATTGACAACAAATTTGGACACAAGACACCTATCAGGTCAATGAGTGACCATCACCCATAAAAACACTGAAAAACCCAGCAGAAGGGACTTCAAAAGTAAAAAAAATCCCAAAAAGACGTTACAGCGCATGCGCAAAAATGACTCCCCCTGGCAAACAAAACACACAATAGCATATCCACACTCTCTTCTGGACTACAGCTCCCAGCATCCCTTAGACCCGGCCCTTTAGAAGGCTAAGAGGAGACATAGCCATGTATAAATATGTGAGGGGAAGTCATAGGGAGGAGGGAATAAGCTTGTTTTCTACTGCCCTGGAGACTAGGATGTGGAACAATGGCTTCAAACTACAGGAAAGGCAATTCCATCAGAACATTAGGGAAGAACTTCCTGACTGTGAGAGCCATTCAGCAGTGGAACTCTCTGCCCCGGAGTGTGGTTGAGACTCCTTCTTTGGAAGCTTTTAAACAGAGGCTGGATGGCCATTTGTCAGGGGTGCTTTGAATGCAATTTTCCTACTTCATGACTGGATGGCCAACAAGGTCTCTTCCAACTCTATGATACTATGATTCTATAATTCTATGACTGGCAAAGTGTCTGTTTCCTCCAGAGATCTCAGCGGATGATATAATCATTTTGCATCTGGCTGCAAGGATGTAGCCAGATGTTTCTGTAATGTCCTCCCACTTTCACCAGAATGGCTGGGAGGGGATTGGGATGTCTCATAGTATGTCCAGGGAGGTTTTGGTCAATGTGGGAAAAGAGTGTGTAGACCTCCACAATAACCAAGATAATGACCCATAAAACTGCCTTCCGCCTATGTATTCTACTAACAGATTGTTAGATAGTGAATGACAGATAATCTGTCTGATAACTAATATCTTATTGTCCCCATCATTCAGAGGTACATGGCAGCTCCACTTAACGGCTAATATATATGACCTAAGTATGGAGACTATTTCCTGGAATTTTGGGGGATGCTAGCTTTGATATCAACAGGTGACATGGATCTCATCCCTCTGTTTGCCATGCAATGGAAAAGGTGGTCCACTCTGTAAGAATCCTGGAATTTTGGGGGATGATTGGTTTGTTGTTGTTTTTTTGGTTTGTTGGTTTTTGTTTTTGTTTTTTTGTCATGTCAGGAGTGACTTGAGAAATTGCAAGTTGCTTCTGGTATGAGAGAATTGGCCGTCTGCAAAGACGTTGCCCAGGGGACGCCCAGATGATTTGATGTTTTTATCATCCTTGTGGGAGGCTTCTCTCATGTCCCTGCATGAGGAGCTGGAGCTGATAGAGGGAGCTCATCCGCCCTCTCCCCGGATTCGAACATACGACCTGTTGGTCTTCAGTCCTGCCGGCACAGGGGTTTAACCCACTGCACCACCGGGGGCTCCGATTGCTTTGGTATGAATGGGTGACATGCGTTTCTTCTCTGTGGTTACCATTCAATGGCAAAAGTGGTCCACCCAGCAAGAATGGTCATCATTGAGGTGGTGTTTACTTGCTTTCTTTTTCAGGATGGCAGCACAGCTCTCTCCATTGCAGTAGAGGCAGGCCAGAATGACATTGCTATCATGCTGTATGCTCATCTGAACTTTGCCAAATCTACTTCTCCGGTGAGTTGCCACCTATAGTCAAGCAATCACAACATAATATGAATTGAGCCATCTTTAGACCATCTAACCGACTGATTAACTAAGTACAGAATGCTTCTAGCATTAAGATGTTTGAATGCTTCCACCAAAAAGGGAGCCCATGCATAGGTTATTGGTTCTGTTGGTCAACAGTTTTTACCATCAACACGTTCCTCCCACAGTTCAAGTGAAGGTTCCAATAAGATGTCCATTAGATCTAATGCTGCCAGATGAGGAATGCGAGAACACGTTTTGCTTTATACTAATCTTATGTAGCTGCCGAATGTGTACTGTTTTGCCCTCTCCATGCAGAACGTGCCGTTTTGTTATAGGGGTTACTTCCCATAGACCTAACCGTCTTTGTTGCCCTTCTCAGAACCTGCTCCAATTTGTCTGTGTGATGGTCACAGGACTCTTCAGATAACATCTTGGCTGGTCTAAAATAAAGTGGAGCTACTGCCTCCCATGACTCGGAAATGGAGGCACTGTTAATGCAATCTTAAATTGCATTACCGTTTTATCTATAGCCTTACCACATTGCTAACTCATGTTTAGCTTGTGATTCTTTTTATATTTATCACTCGCTGTCCAGTAAATCTCCCCTATCTTGTTTCTGTGCAACTTGAATTTTAATCTGAATGCCAGCATCAATCATCACCGAATTTTAGTTTTTAATTCTATCAAATGCATTTTGGAATTTAAACCCATCTTAAGAAACACCAGTTGTGACTTCCAGCTTTGCAAATCTTTGGCTAGATGAATTACATACAAGGGTTGTGCCGTCACTCCCAGACCCTATAACATTAAAACTAAGATGTGCTTCTGTCTTTATCTGGGTGAACCGCTGGGGGTCTTTCTTTGAAGCAATAACTCAATACTTTCAGCAACTGATGCCAGTCAAGATATGAACATCAACAAAATGTTTATTTCCAAAGTCCTTGGCAGACTTGGCACAGCTTGAAAAAGTTACAACACAAACAGTCAATTTGAGAAATCATAGAGATGTTCTTTCTTTCCCTTTTTTCTTCAATTACTGAGGTAACCTTTCTCCAAATGGTAGAAAAAATCTTGAGATATTTCACCCTAACCCTGAGCTGCTATGGTTAGAAAGAACAGGTCTTCCCCTATCTAAACACAAGGTCAGTTTTGGAGATGAAGTAATGCTCAATAGTTCTCAATAACCATTTCTCTCTATTTCTCAATTACTCAATTACTATCTCAATATCTTAATATCGCTCTCTCTATAACTCAATATTAATTACTCAATTATTCAATTCCTATTCTATCTATCTATCTTAATATCTCAATTGTTTCATTACTCAGTTGTATTCACAATGGGTTTTCAGAGCTACCTGTCTGACCAACAGCACATCTGAGGCTCTTTTCTCTACTGAAGGAGGCAGGGGAGATTTCAAAATGGAGATCTCAACCCCAGGAAAAAGGGCAGACTCCAAACTCAAAGAGATGCTTTCTAAACCAATAACTGCAGAGGGCCTGCGGTCTGGCTTTCCAGACTCTGATACTGTTTAACTTCCAGGGTGCTGCTGGGTCTATAGCAACCCTGGGGAAATGCAAAGGAATGCTATCCCATGCAGCTAAAAGGCAATGTGAACCGTGCTCCTGGAAGACGGAACAAGGGAATTAAAAGAACTGGCAGAAGTAATTTCAGAACCACTAGCAATCATCTTAGAGAATTCCTGGGAATCAGGAGAAATCCCAGCAGTCTGGAGAAAAAGCAAAAGTTGTTCCAATTTTCAAAAACAGGAAAAAAGAGGACCCAAACAATTGCTTCCTATTCAGCCTGAGATCAATACTAGGAAAGATTCTACAGCAGATCATTAACCAATCAATCTGTAAGCACTTAGAAAGGAATTACTAAAGGTCAACATGGGTTTCTCAAAAATAAGTAATGTCAACCTAATCTTATCTCTCTTTTTTGATGAAGTTACAAGCTTGGTAGATATTGAGAATGTTGCTAATGTCACATATCTTGTTTTTAGTAAGGCCTTAGAGAAGGTCCCCTATTATATTCTTGCAAATAAACTAGTGAATTGTGGGCTAGTCAATGCCATTGTTAAGTGGATTGGTAATTGACTGACTGAACCCAAAGGATCCTGGAGAGAAGTGACCACAGTATGCCACAGGGTTATGTTATGTTATGTTATGAGCCCAGTGCTGTCTAACATCTTTATTAATAACTAGCCGTCCCCTGCCACGTGTTGCTGTGGCTCAGTCTGGTGATCTGGAAAATAAAGTAATGAGAAAGTGTTTATTTCTAATATATGTAATTTCTTTCTGCTTGTGGGTGAACAGTATTTCTTGTTGTTTCTTTGTCAGTGTTGATGTGGAGAGTGTCTGGTTTGCCTACTTTGGAACATGCAACATATAATTGTCCTTCTTTAGGGGTCCCTTTCAAATCTATAATACTATATCTGTGTGTGTGTGTGAATCATATCTATCTATCTATATTTATGACTGGATGGCTCTTTGTCAGGAGGGCTCTGATTACATTTTGTTGCCCTGGTCCGAACGCATCTCCTCCTATGAACCGGTTAGGACGTTAAGATCATCTGGGAAGGCCCTGCTCTCTGTCCCGCCTGCATCACAAGTACGTCTGGCGGAGATGAGAGACAAGGCTTTCTCAGTGGTGGCCCCTCGGCTGTGGAATGCCCTTCCTATAGAAATTAGATCGCCCCCCCCCCTCCCTGTTAGGATTTCAGAGGAAAGTGAAGACATGGTTGTTCGAGCAGGCATTTGAATAGGCAGTGTAATGAATATAGGAATATGGAACAATGGATGATGAGATTGGATCTTGATTCTACCTGTGAGACGCTAATGAGATTTATATTGACATTTAGTTGATTGTTTATTATGCTATTGTTTTAATTGTTTTTAACTGCTTTTATGATGCTCTGAGCATTGAATTTTGCTATTGTTAACCGCTTTGAGCTGCCCAAGGGCTGAGAAAAGCAGTATATAAATGGAATAAATAAATAAATAAATAATTTAATTTAATTTCACATAATATAATGGCATAGTGCAATATAGTAATATATCATACTGATATTGTACTATGCTAATAATATAATATATTGTCGAAGGCTTTCATGGCCGGAATCACTGGGTTGTTGTAGGTTTTTTCGGGCTATATGGCCATGGTCTGGAGGCATTCTCTCCTGACGTTTCACCTGCATCTATGGCAAGCATCCTCAGAGGATGCTTGCCATAGATGCAGGCGAAACGTCAGGAGAGAATCCTCTGAGGATCCTCAAGCATCCTCTGAGGATGCTTGCCATAGATGCAGGCGAAACGTCAGGAGAGAATGCCTCTAGACCATGGCCATATAGCCTGAAAAAACCTACAACAACCCGATATAATATATTGTATGTAAATATATATTGCAAGCTGCTCTGACTCCCCTTCGGCGTGAGAAGGGTGGCATATAAATGCCGTAAATAAATAAATAAGTATAAAACTTTTCATTAAGAATGAATCATGCCATTTTTTTTTTCAGGGGACTCCAAAGCAACCAAAGCCCGACAACACAGCGGTGACACCCAGTGATAATAACAACAAGGATGATGGTGGCATTTCTCACTAGAAGCAGAGGCTTGCTCACTTTGAAGGACTGAGGAATAAAAGGATCTTCCGGTGCCTCTTGCAAGTTTGTCTGTTTCTGAAGAAATGCAGCTTTATTGACCTCTCCATCAACAGGAATTTCTCCCATCTACTGCACTGTCTGGGCCGGTTGGTCTTCTAGCAAAACCAGCTTTGTGCATGGCTTTCAGGAAGCTGTTTTAGAAGGGCTGCAGTGTAGCCAGCAAAGCTTGCATGGCCTTGTTTCTGCCGGCCAGTGAGCCAAAGAGCAGATTGGCAAAGGGTCTTTAGGTGCAGTTTCTCACCCAATTTAGCACAGCTTTGCAGCTTCATAGAGATAATAGTTCTCCCATTCACGCCAACCTTCTATAGGACGAAGAGACTGAAAGCAACCTCAATGTCCATCAAGAGACCACTGGGAAGGAACTGCAGTTTTATTTACTAGAGCTGAGTTGGCAAAATCAAGGTTCGTGGAGGTTCCAGTTTCAGAAAAGTGGAGCACTGGGACACACCTATACCATGGACATCTTGACGATTTGAGGCCAAATCCTGGCCTTCTCCATTCTGGCCCTTCTTCCATTAAGGCTTAATATATTTTATAGAGGCTAATAAAGGAGTGTCTCTCTAAAGCAACTCCAGACAGAAGACATGTACCTTTTCTTGAACTGTGGCAAAGAAAACATGCTTAAATATGAATTTACTTGAAATGACATTAAGAAAGCATCTGCCTTATGTGAGCTAAGAATTCTTAACTTGAGGAAGTGCTTAGAAGGATTTGTACTTTTCCTTTTAGGGGGAAAAATGTGATTTTGCTATGTGAGAAATCTTGCAATACAACTAAAGTGAATATGTAAGGCTAGGATCAAAGTCAATGGATTTTACGTACTTGGAGAAATTTGAATTTTTGGTATAGATATTCTTTACCGCATCTGAAGCACTCATCCTGGCCCTAGTTTGCCATCACGACAGATCTAGGCTCACAGTTTGGGTAATGTACTTTTTTGGACTACAGCTCTCACAAAACCATGTAGACTGGAGCATTCTGTCAACTGTAATCCATAAAAGTAATCCCATTACCTTTCATTTTGTAATTTTCTTCTACAAATGGAGAGAGCAGGGTTTTAATGGTTTGCACAGATGTTCTTCCAGGGCCAACGAACAAAGGAATCCCCCAGGCAGGAAGTAGCCAAGCTTTGAAGCTGCAAGGCTATTCAATGCTAATTAAGGTGTCCAATTGCAGACACCCTGGACATTCCACAGATATATAAACCCCACTTGCCTAGTTTCCAACAAACCCTTCAACCTCTGAGCATGCCTTCTAACAAAGGAATCCCCAGGCAGGAAGCAGCCAGGCTTTGAAGCTGCAAGGCTATTCAGTGCTAATTAAGGTGTCCAATTGCAGACAAGAGTTCTTTCTCCCACCTTGGACATTCCACAGATATATAAACCCCACTTGTCTAGTTTCCAACAGACCCCTTAATCTCTGAGCATGCCTGTTAACAAAGGAATCCCCCAGGCAGGAAGCAGCCAGGTTTTGAAGCTGCAAGGCTATTCAATGCTAATTAAGGTGTCCAATTGCAGACACCCTGGACATTCCACAGATATATAAACCCTACTTGCCTAGTTTCCAACAGACCCCTCGACCTCTGAGGATGCCTTCTAACAAAGGAATCCCCCAGGCAGGAAGCAGCCAGGCTTTGAAGCTGCAAGGCTATTCAATGCTAATTAAGGTGTCCAATTGCAGACACCCTGGACATTCCACAGATATATAAACCTCACTTGCCTAGTTTCCAACAAACCTCACAACCTCTGAGAATGCCTGCCATAGATGTGGGTGAAACGTCAGGAGAGAATGCTTCTGGAACATAGACACACAGCCTGGAAAACTCACAGGAACCCAGTGATTCTGGCCATGAAACCTTTCAACAACACGTTCTTCCAGTGTATTGAACCTTTTAACTATAATGCAAGTCCATTCTCCTGATTGATTGATTCAATCTAATTTTGAAATTTCAAACATTTTATATCTCAATAGAGTTCTTTCTCCCACCCTGGACATTACAGAGATATATAAACCCCACTTACCTAGTTTCCAACAGACCCCTCAACCTCTGAGCATGCCTGCCATAGATGTGGGTGAAACGTCAGGAGAGGATGCTTCTGGAACATAGACACACAGCCCGGAAAACTCACAGGAACCCAGTGATTCTGGCCATGAAAGCTTTCAACAACACGTTCTTCCAGGTTATTGAATTTTTTAACTATAATGCAAGTCCATTCTCCTGATTGATTGATTGATTCAATCTAATTTTGAAATTTCAAATATATCTCAATAGGGCATATAGTTCAAATAGCTCATTATCAGCTAGACAAACCTGCCTGCTTTAACTATCCACCAAAGAAAGTGATTTTCCAAGCTCACATTTTAATTCTCAGATGTCTTTCAATGCCAAAACGTTCTTCTGTTGCCTAAAAAATGACACAGTAATGAAATAGATGAACCATAGCATTTTTTTAAAATTGCCAATTATCTGAAATAACAGAAAGGTACACCCTATTTTTATATAAATATATATGTGTATATTAATATACATCAAGAAAAGGAATATACATAAATTATTTTAGTGCACATTGTGTAGGAATCCTTGAGAATCAGTGTCCGAATGGATCAGGAGGAGCAGCCGGCTGAAGAAGGCCGCGATTTTAGCTGCATATCTCCTGACTCATATCTTTGCACACTTTAATCTCTGCTTTATGTCAAAGCTGATAGTAACTAGCTGGGCTTAAAACAAATGTTTATTTGGAGCTATGGCTCTTGTGTTGTTCTGAACACACAAGCGGTACAAGTATGTCATCTTAATAACCCTTTCTTGATATTTTAAATGGGCAACGGGAGGTTCTCAAAGTTGCATGTCGTAGAAGAGTACCCGAGTCTTGTATCTGGGATGTTGCCTCATTAATATGTAATCGCTTTTACAATCGACGTATGATATTTCTACACATTTAAACGAAGTTAATCCAATTTATAAAACATAACCAAAAATAAAAAAAAATATCCAATACAACTGTTTCTGATGATGTTAATATTATTCAGTAAGAAAGTATCCCGATCTCTTCCAGCTCCGTGGTTCTGTGAGCAGAGGCGGCCCTAGGTAATTTTCAACGGTAAGCAAACAGTATTTTGGCACCCCCCCCCCCAACCAATCACTGATATATATTTTCTGTTCGTCGTGGGAGTTCTGTGTGCCATATTTGGTTCAATTCCATCATTGGTGGAGTTCAGAATGCTCTTTGATTGTAGGTGAACTATAAATCCCAGTACCTACAACTCCCAAAGGGGGGGGGGGGGCTTCGCCCCCCCCCCGAAATTCTCATGGTGGTTCGCGAAAAGGCCTTACTGGTGCATTATTTAAACTGTTATGTTTATTCATATCATGATCTGATCACCATACTCAATATATCCCATATGCATGGGGGTATTGGGGTAATGATACAAAAGGTTTGCTAGGTAGACCCTCTTTCACTCAGACTCAGCCCTCCCAAATCAAAACTGAAAAAAGTTCAGCCCCCCCCCCCCGAAACGAAATCCTGGCTACGGGCCTGATCCCAGTAACTACAACTCGCATATGTCAAAGTCTATTTCCCCCCCAAGAGTGGGAGGGAGTTCCAGAGTCGGGGGGCTACCACAGAAAAGGCCCTGTCTCGCATCCCCACCAGACGCGCCTGCGACGCAGGTGGGATCGTGAGCAGGGCCTCTCCGGATGAACGAAGAGAATGCGTGGGTTCATAAACGGAGATGCGGTCACGCAGGTAGGATGGTCCCAAACTGTTCAGGGCTTTGTAGGTAAGCACCTGCACCTTAAATTGGGCGCGGAAAATAAACGGCAGCTAGTGAAGCTCCTTAAACAGGAGGGTTGACCTCTCTCTGTAGGGAGCACCAGTTAACATCCTGGCCACCGCCCGTTGGACCAGTTGAAATTTCCGAGTCGTTTTCAAGGGCAGCCCCACGTAGAGCGCATTACAGTAGTCCAATCTAGAGGTGACCAAGGCATGGACCACCCTGGCCAGATCAGCCTTTGCGAGGTACAGTCGCAGTTGGCGCACAAGTCTCAATTGTGCGAAAGCCCTCCCAGACACCGCCGACTCCTGAGCCTCAAGCATAAGTGATGAATCCAAGAGGACTCCCAAAGTGCGGACCTGTGGCTTCAGGGGGAGTGTAACCCCGTCCAACACAGGTTGCCACTCTATACCCCGATCCTGTTTACGATCATACAAGGGCACAATGGCTCATCATCACAGCTCTGCTCTCCATTGTTTCATGAAGGAAATCCTGTCACCTAAGAGTCATTCCACCCTGACAGTAATCAATGCCTCCATTGTCCCCTGGGTAACATCCTTGCAGACGGCCAATTCTCTCACACCAGAAGCGACTTGCAGTTTCTCAAATCGCTCCTGACATGAAAAAAATATATACTTTACCATTGATAAAGTACATTCTATTGGATGGATATCGACAAACTCATTACATATAGGATAATGGTGAGGAAAGTACTCAACATAGCTAACACTGGATTAACTCATCAGAAATCACACCATGCAATTTCTAATACCTGCCACATGGTGGTGATATCAACTTGGATTTATTTCTCGGTTTCGCAAAACTTTTTTTTACAATCATATTGCTGAAATTACATTTCTAATCAAGATCAAATACAGATCATTGGTATGATTGCTTGCCCTCCCTCCCTCTCCCAAAATCTACACATATATGAATATACGTATACTTCAGAACAGTGTCTACAATAATATAATTGTTCCCCGCTACACTATTTCTCCCCCTTTCACCCCTCCAGTTGCAGTGACCTCCCCTCCTTTGGGTTAAAGACATTCATATACAATCTTGCCCTTCTTTTCCAGTAAAACATTCACCCATTCTTCCCTATAACACAAGAATCATCATCTCAAAATTACAAGCAAAAATTCTAACAAACATGAAATTATGGAGCCTATTCTAGAATGTTTTCCCTTCTTCCCACAAAGTTCAAAGATTGTTCCCATTTCTTAACAAAGTTCTTCTCTATTTCCTCCCTATTCAGCTTGGATTTAATTGTGGTGTTGAGAAATCCACCTCTAAGGGTTTTTTGGGGGACTCTTACTAGAAGTAGTCTTATCAGGGAAATTCTGTTGCTATTAGCAGAAGGTGAGTGGATTGACCGTAAGGTTTGCAGCTGGTAACAGTGTTCATATGTCTGCCTAATACTCTAAAACAGTGGTTTCCAATCTTTAAGACTGGACCATGGAGACAAAAATTGGAGACATTGTGGACCATCAAGGTCAATCAGCCCCTCTCCCACCAGACACCCACATGCTTCCTTCCCTTCCTGCCCCTTCCTTCCCCTCTCCTCCCCTTCCCCCTTCTGTTTCCTTCCCTTCCCCCTCCCCTCCCCTCCCTTTTCTTCCCATTCTTTCCCTTCCCTTCCCTTCCCCTTCCCATCCCTTCCCTTCCCCTCCCCTCCCCTCCATTTTCCCTTTCCCTTCCCCTTCCCCTTCTCTTCCCATTCTTTCTCTTCCCTTCCCTTCCCTTTCCCTCCCATCCTATCCCATTCCATCCCCTCCCTTTTCCCTTTCCCTTTCCCCTTCTTTTCCCTTCCCTCCCTTCCCTTCTCTTCTCTTCCTTCCC